ATTATCCAAATGTACATCTACCCTAAGCAGTAAGTACCACAGGCGTCCACGGTTGAGTGTTGATCCCATGCTCATCATCTCCATCAGCACTCAATTGGCATCCCGATCAATACTTGGTCGAAACTCAATCCACATATCATCTTGATTGACACTCAATCAACAGTCAGTCAATAGTGGGCTGAATGTCGAGCCACCTGTGTGCATCAACCTGAGAATTAGTTGATTCTCAACTGACTGATGACTTAGATGTTGATGAAGTGTCAATCAAGTGTCAACCAAGGTGTTGATGGACTGCCGACAGAGGATCGATAGGGACGCCGATCGAGTGTTGACTGAGGGTCAATTTAGGGTATTGATCGACACTCAACTGCAAATACCTTTAGTAAACATGATCCGTCAACTCCAAAATTGAGCACCTTACCTAAAAAAGTATGCAACAAGCAGACACGTCAACAAACTAGACAGCTACCCTAAGTAGATGCCTATCCAAAGTGGACGCCTCCTCTAGACTAATACCTCACCTTAACAGTCACTTACTCTAAGTGAACACCTTCTCTAACACAATATATCTACTGGGAAAAAATTCAGCCATGGGCCTGATGACATATTTGTTATCACTACTTGAGTGTCACACCAGTTCTTCTTATTAGTGAGTGAGTGCAGTTTGAGTTAAATGCTTGGATCAGCAAAAGTATTTAAAGGCCTTCTCATCACAAGAGAAATATTTGATATTGTAAGGAAATGGTACAGTTCAAGAACAATATACAAGACTTCAGCTGTTTCATAAACATCTTCAATTCTGATCACACATGGCTGAAAGAGATAAAAGACTGGTTGTGAGATCCACTGATAAAGTGCCGATAAACAAAGTTACATTCTTTCTTTAAGTGTTCAGTACAGCATTTCTCATAATATTTGTATTATATGTTCATTAGCAAGGAGAATGGTAACAAAAAAAAGAGCTCATAAAATGGATGACATTAATCTGTCTTTATTATATTATTATTATTGGCATTATTGGATAATCTAGTCCATAATTTTAGCGTGTGTTAGTAATTGTACATTTCCTTAAACATTTTCTGATCTGTCTTTATATAGCACTAAATTCCCAGAACTTCATCGCGAGAAAGTATGGCAGTCAGTAAAAGAATTGACTATCAGAAATATCCATTAAACTAAACTGGTAAAATCCTCTTGCTGCGACGGTGATAATACTGAATGGGTACATTTATAAAATTTGAAGACAGCAAAGTATAGCTTACAAGCTAGGGCAGATGTAGGTCAGTAGAAAGGATTACTTAACAATGGGTGCAAACAGCTGCAGCTAAAAGCCCTTTGCAGGTATTATAAGCTCTGTAAGCATTATAATTTATTGGTATAAAAGTGATGCTGGGTAACTGCATTTGTAGGTATGCAATGCATAGAAAGGACTTTAGATACATAGCCTTTGGCACACATTTGGCCCTCTGTACATCATTATTATAAG